AAGGCACTGCATCACCCACTGAATAATTACTGAATTATGTTACATTGGTAATGAGTTCACAAAAATTCACTGGCAGAATGCTACTGGTATGTAATACAGTGTTATACATGTACATGTATAGTACTTGCACATGAATTATTACATAATATTTAATTACTTTTATCTGTTCTTGCAGTTTGGAGTCAAGCATACTTCTTTCCTTTTCTAACTTCTTCACATCATTCTCCAAAGTGACAATTTTTATCAGCTGTTCATCCTGTAAGGACTGTTTGATATCTGGTAATAACGATGTAAATGATAGATCTACTGAGCTGTCAGGACTCAGCTGGTCAGCATTCAGTAACTGTTCACGTAGTTCAACATATTCCATGCCATCACCTTCCAGTCTTGGGGTTCTCTTGGGGTCAATATCTGTATCACATAATCAGAGGGTTATATGTATGATGTTTTTGAGGAAATGAAATCAACATTGGTTTTAAACTGTATATACATGGCGCATATAGCCCTAATTATGTAAATTACTCACTGATATTTATCTGTACACCTGTCAATCTATTGTTTTCAATGCTAATGTAACCACTAATTTAAAACAAATTACTAGTACATTATACCAGCCTGTTACACATTTAGCTTGCCTAAGGCCAGTCCAAATTTGTTGTTTGTTGAATAATTAAGATTAAATCTTGTTTGCTCTCACATAGTCGAAACATCGTTATTTAGGCCGGCCCAAAGTGGCCTTATTTCTTTGGAATGCAGATTTGCTATGTCACAAGTGTCAAACACGGTGGACCTCAACGTGTTGTTTCTATTCAGCATTATTTTTTCGTATTTCTTGTAGCAAATCTTGATTAGGACGTTTGCATCATCGGAATGGTATCTAAAATCGCTCTGGAGTTCTGCCAACTAACTTGAGTCTTGGTTGGCATAAAATGATCTGTTCAATTTGATTTGAGATATGGCTTGTTTTGAAATGTTGAACTGAAACTCAGTGACAGTGGCAAGACTTGACACAATAATTGGTAGGCACAAATAGATTTGAGGACAATTGTTGTCAACTATCACTTCAAAACCTGTCCACATAAGTCTCAACTTTCTTTTCACTTGTGTGTAATCATTCACATTTTGCATGTGTTTTGCACTCCGCCATGATTTAACTGGCTTGTGTAAGATTAGAATACCATTTAAAAAAAATGATCAGATATCCATGATATTTACACTATGAATTCATAATGATGTTGTACACAAACTACAAATAAAAATTTTTGTCAACAAACTACTTTTCGAACAAAACACAAGTCATCCACGAAGATGTTTATTTCTGAACCATTCCCTGGTTTCCTGGTAAATATTTCTTACCATATACCCCACAAAAAATTTTGATTATATATAGCGAAAAAACAAACAAATGTCATGAATTATTAGAACAATCTGATTATTATTAATGTTTCATGAAATAATGCTTTCAGATGGCTTCTCATAGAAATTGTCCCAAAAATTTTAGGCATGTTTTCTCCATATAAACATTTCATACTGGGACAAAAAACCCCAGAAAAGTTAACAATGTGTTCAAATCAATGATTACATGACACTTTTAACAAAAAAATATCTTGGTAAATTTGATGCTACTATTTATTACCTTAAAAGATAAGAGTGAATACAAGGCATTGTGGGTATTAAACTGTGATAAGAAACATGTAGGCTAGTTTAAATAGTTTATGACAAACATGAAGAATCAACAGCCATGTGAATGTGCTAACTGACATTCTGGAATTTACATATATGAAGACAGTACAGAGGGAGTATCAACCAACGTGCAGCAGAGGTTGATGTGATCCTGTACTGTCTGAGTGCATACTTTTTGGTATCCTCATAATAACCTTATTATTATAGATCCCAATGGAAAGGCCGAAATCAAATCAGCGAACTTCCGTGTAATGACCTTATCATACATTTTTCCTTCCAAGGAAATGCCGAAATCCCAAATGTTTAGAACAGATTTAACGAACTTCTTTGTGTGGAGTCCAGTCAAACCATGTTTGTTTTTATTATTAGAGGACGCTTATATGAGTAATGGTTCCATATTTCCATATCTGCATTTCCTAATATGGTAGGATGAAAATACCCTGTAAAATACCAATGTAACTTATGACGTTACCGTGACAGATGTATAATAATATTAAATATGCTCTGCTGAAAATGGGTATACATGTATCTCTCAATATTGTACAATTTACTCCATATACGTGCACTCCTGAGACTTGTGTATATTTGTCATGAATTGTGCAATATTTAAGCAATAACCCCCAGCCGAAGGCGGGTATACCACGCCTGCAGCTCATGCATATAAGTCATGAATTGTGCAATATCAAGTGCATATAAGTCATGAATTGTGCAATATCAAGTGCGGTTTTCAACAAGAAGTCGAAAATATCACTTTTTACCAAAAATTACAAAAATATTCACCGAAA